ATATATATATATATATATATATATATATATACACACACACACACATATATATATATATATATATAATACACACACATCCCTACAAAATGTCGTCATTTAAATAGTACAAAAGTATATTTAAATTCCTAGCATGATTGAAATGATTGAACAAGGTTTGATTTCACCCATCATGAGTTACCAGAGCAGATGCCTCAGAGGGGCATGGATACCCTGGCAGATTCAAGGGGCCCAGCAGTGTATAGGGTCCCCCCCCCCCTCCGCCCCCACCGCTAGGTAATGTGCCATTGAGGCCCAGATTTTCTAGCTGCTCCCCCACTTTTGAGTTGAGACTTTGTGATCTGGCAGGGGTGTGACTTGCCCGGAAACGGGACAGGCAGTTCCGGACCCAGGATGCCGGAGCCTGTGCTGTTAGGCTCCCTGTCTGGGTTCATCACGCCCTCTACTGAGCGGAGGACGCACTGGACAGAGGTGAGTAAGGAGTGTGCCAGGCCGGGAGGCCTGTATGTACTCCAGCTGCATCAAGGGGCCGACTCAGCACAGAGCACAGATTTCGCTAAAAACCTTCTGCTTCTCCACAGGCTGTACGCTGCTGCTCAGGGACCACACAAAGAATGAGGGTTTCTTTGTGGGCTTCTCTATAGGAGGTCCCCTGTGGTCACCTCAGTAACACAGGCTAGCAGGACAGTCCATGCGGACAAGGCCTGAGACATAGAAAGTGGTTTGCGATGCAGGGGTTCCCCCAAACCTGTCACCCCAGGGACAGTAGACTTCCCAGACGGTGGACTCTGTCCCCCTTAGTGTCCTCACAGTGATGCACAGAGGGGCTGCAGTGAATGTGGGCCCCTGTGTTTGCCGTTGATGACAGGGAATGAGACTTCAATAAGACTAAAGATTCCACTAGAAGAGATTGGTAATGTTTTAATTAAGGAAAACACACACGGCCGGTATTAAAGTCAAACAACAAGCCACAGTGACCCAAGGGGAGCTTGTCACGTGGCGAGACATGAAAATGAAACCTGGTGGTGTTGACTAAAAAAAGAGAACCAACCAGGAAGAGTGCCTTCGACAAGCAAACAGAACATTTTCCATTCCTTTGCATACCTGTGCACACCAATATGTTGTCTGTGCTCTCAGTACCTGCTCTGAAGCCTCATTTACAGTTATACCTTTAATGATAATGACTGATCAAACTCATTCATGTTTACAAAGAAAAAACATGTAACATAATTCAATCATTTTACATGGCAGTTAGTCACACTTCAAAGCTAGTACACACTGTTAACCAGTGCAGCCTTAATTCTAAAAGAGGTGATGTCATTGTGTTTAATTAATGAATCATAACAAATACACGGGGAATTACCATTGTAGACTGGAAGCATGTGGAAAAATCTGCATAAATGCTGTACAGCTCAACAATCCAGTGCAAAATTCAGCCGTTGTCAAAGGTGTGATAAGCATGTCACAATCAATACGAACAATAAAAACAACCTGAGAAGTGAAGCATATTTATTAAAAGTTAATAAAGGGATGCATATTTCAAAGCCTGTTTGTAGACAACACCTACTGTTTGTGATGACTGGCATGCACTTATGGATAGGATGGTTTCTTTGTCTAGGTTCAAAGTAAAAAGTAGCAGTAGTAGTAGTAGTAATAATAATAATAATAATAATAATAATAATAATAATAATAATAATCCACCCAGGTTTGTGTGTTCACTAATATCAGATGACAGTTCTGACAGAATCCCATTGACAGAACATTGAACAACATTTCAATTATTTTAGATTGTCGCTCTGACCCTCCCGAAAATCTTTTCAGGTGGGGGGGGTGGGGGGTGGCACAAGTGTCCCCCCCTTCCTGGATTGAGCTCTGGCTGGTCCCTCTCTTCCCCCCGTCTTCCCGCCGCACCCTGTAATCGTAACCGCCGCATCGCTGGTTCCAATTAGCCGTCCAGATGAGGTGTGTAGGAGGGCAGCCCCGACAGCGGGCCGGACGGGGGCCCCTGGGCACCCCGGCACGGCTGTGGGGTGGCAATGTCCGCATCAGGCCTCCCCAGCTCGTTTGAATACGGGGATTCCGTGGAAGCGTTGGCTAATCTCAGATGGCTATCGGGCTGATTTCAATAGAGGGTGGAAAAAAAAGCTAAGCCGCTATGGGTATCTAATCAAATTAGCTAGCTTTTTTTTCCAGCGACACAGGGGCCAATTGAAACGACTGTTCCTCAGTGCTATTACATCCCAAGGCAATGTAGAGCACTTATTCCTTACCGGAAGGGATATGATAAGATTATTAATATAAATTATGGGAGGATTATGAATCGACTGCCCTCTGTCGCATTTCATCATTAAGGCCTGATGACATTAAAGGGCAGGGCAGGCCTTCTTCCATGTGGCAGTTTGGACAAGGCAGAGTTCATGCGGCACTGAGAATAATAATAATTTGCATGAATACAGCAAAATACAGAATCATCATTATATTCACTGGCAGAGGGCCGAAGCTGTGGAAAAAAATACGGTGAATGAGAAGACACTCCCCGTATTAATTCTTTATTATACAGAGTATGTATATGTGCGGTGTCCAGACCTCATCAGAAAGGATATTAAGGGGCGGGGTCAAACTAAAGGTCAACATTTCAGGTAGATTCATGCCAGGGCTGTGACACCTTGTTAAAAAAAAAAAACCTTAAACATCGTTGACTCAGCAAAACGCATCACCCTATTTTAGTGTTATGTGGTGAATGGAAATGCAACATTGACAAACATGTTCCTTTCTCAGGGTGTCTAGCTTTCTGTAGCACGGCGAAGTATTAATTCTTTATATGTATATCTGGGGTGTCCAGACCTCAGCAGAAAGGATATTAAGGGGCGGGGTCAAACTAAAGGTGAAATTAAAGGTCAAACTTTTGTCCCCACTGTTGATGGTAGGCAGGACTATAATTCTGCTTTTGCCAGGAGGCTGGGGCCCTTGTGACGGAGGCCCCGTCTCTTCAGCTGAACCCCCCCCCCCCCCCCCCCCCCACCCGAGGCACATAACACACAGCTGCTTGTACACATTAGGTCAAGTCAGTTCTAAGAAGCGTTTACAGAAAACATCAAAGTAATGCAACATAATGAGCCACACAGCTGCTGGAATTAAAATAAAATTAAAATTTGTAGACAGGAAAGAACAAAAACTCGGTGGTGAACAAAAACGATGGTGATTTGCACATGTTTAATTACAAATATGGTTAGGCAATTCAGGTAATTACCAATATTCAGTTAAACTAATCTCTGCTTTAATAAATTAAAGTTACTTATTATTACATATCACGTAGCCAAAGGAGAAAAACTTCTTTTTAAATGATACAGTACAATCTTTCAAATGAACCCTGTTTCCTCTTTTAATAACAGAATCCATTTAGGATGATAAAATCTCACGTCGTTGCCCATTGTTCACGATCTTTAGTTCCCGAATGCATAGCTCATAAAGAAAACAAAGTGTCAACGCCCCCCCCCCCCCCCCTACGAGAAGATGGAGATTTGTATTGTGGAGTGTGGTGGTGATGCTTTCTGAGCACTGGGGACCGAAGGATGGAACACATATCAGACCCAGCCATAAGCAAGTATCAAGGTCGCGCCATAAGCAGGTTTCAAGGTCGTGGAGGACCACAGGCGTGATTCAGTATAGTGCCTGCTAGGTCTGGATGTCTGCAGCCTAAAGTTTGTGAAAAATGTTGGGTCAAAAAATGGATGGAAGCAGCACGATGCAGCTAAGCTGAGGAAGGTGGTGCATTCGTTACATTACAGCCTTCACACTTCGGCGCCACTTAATTAAATAAGTGCATACTCTCTATCCATTTTAAGCAAACACCTATCCAATTAGGGATGCAATGAACTGAAGCCTACTTAGGAAACAGATGGCGTAAAGCAAGGTTTCATCTGGACGGGACTGCAGTCCGTCACAAGATCCACACACACGCACACACTTAGACAAACACAACCGGGCAATCAACGGGATACTCCACCCAAACTCAATGACGTATGATCCTCTGGCATAATTACAGGTTTGATTATGTGGAACGGCATTTGTTAATTAGCATTATAGTTTATTAAGTTTAATTAAACTATTAACATTTTTCTCAGACAGGAAGCAGATGGGATCCCTCTCTTTGTGAGCCTAGTGCTGAATGGGAGGGAGATCTTCTGTATTGTTCAGCACTGTCAGCAAACCGGGCATAAAATGTAACAAGAGGAACATGCATCTTTTTTTTTTGTTTGAGGAAAAGTAGTAAACATTCGAGCTGGAGACGAAAAAACAAAACAAAAATCACTGGAGATAATGAATCGATAAGGTAGTGGGGTTCACACAGAGGCCACCAGGAACTTCAGAACCAGTGGCTTAACTGGCAAAGCGGTGCAGAGCCCCGCCACCTTACGCAGCCCCATCGTCTCACAGAACACCGTGATGGGGTCAATGAAGCCCCCAGCGAGACATCGATCATGCCCGCATCAAAGTCGCCGCCGCAAATCCTTGCTCCTTTCAGACTGCAGCCGTATCGACAGGCATCTTTCCTCGAAGGAGCAGCCCGCTCGACTGCGGTATTAGTGCACCGACGCTCTGTCCACAGCAGATGAAAACCATGCCCCCCTTACCCACACAAACACCCATCCATGGAGTGCAGCGCCCACTCCTGTACATTTTTGGTAGATTCATGCCAGGGCTTTGACACCTTGTTAAAAAAAAAAAACCTTAAACATCGTTGACTCAGCAAAACGCATCACCCTATTTTAGTGTTATGTGGTGAATGGAAATACAACATTGACAAACATGTTCCTTTCTCAGGGTGGAGAAAAAAAGCTGCCCCCCCCCCCCCAGTGTCTAGCTTTCTGTAGCACGGCAAAGTATTTTGGTTCAAGTTCCACTGCGGCTTCCGGCTCACTTGCGGTTTTGGTTTTATTGCCAGCTTCCCCTGTTGGGCCTGACGTATTTCCTTGTTGAATTAGAATAAACCCTTTCCACACAAAGCCCCGTGATACAGGGCCTCTTCCCTTTGCTTTCATTAGCCACTGGAAAGAAGTATGAAATCCCCTGTAGTTAATCTGAGAATCAGACCTCTTTGCCCTTTACCACGAGGTCGGGGGGCACAGACAGTTGTGGAAGATGCTCCGTGGGAAGCAGACTTTCATTTTTTTCTTCTTTTGCTCAGAAATCAGCCAGGCCGAACCCATTTACAGTACGAGGGGAAAACTTTTAATTAAGATTTGAAAGTGTGCAGGGTGAGATTCAACTCTCCTCAGTCACCACAGGACCCAGGAAGCTCTCGTAGATGCCACTGCTGTCGATTGACACTGTGAAAAGAACAACTCTTGTAGCAGGTGAACATACACTTTTATTATTCAACTTTTCCTTGAACAAAATTGGGAAATCATATGAGGACACTGTGACAGACCACCAACAGTGGGGTAAAATCTTTTCCACAGTCAAATTGCAATTTTCACATACAAGCAGACATAGACACATACAAAAACTGTGAATTATTGTCAGTCGCAGGGTTGTGATGTCATTATGGCTTATGATGGATTAATTATGTCCATGTGGTTCATATCTTTTTAACATGGTCTTGGGGGATCTTTGTTCAATCATTAACATGCCGGCACTGAACACTGCTAATCAGCAACAGTGTTAAAGGCTAGAACACTGATGGATACAGCAGCCTTAGCACTGAAGGTAAAGCTCTATTGCAGTTCTCTGTTGGGTTCAGCAAAAATATTTCAAACTGAAGGGTCAGCAGCGTCTGTCTGATTTCCATAGGATGCCCTGATTTCGATTCTTTATCCCCTTATGAAAATGATTTATCAGCGAATTACCTCGGCTGGTATTTTTCAGCTAAATTAGGGTTGTTTTTATGCTGCAACACATCTGGCCGCTTCAGGTGACCCCAGTGTCAGACAAAGCACATGTGTACAGTGACCCCAGGCAGAATCGCGACTCGTGGGCTCTTCCACAGGAGACATCATCCGGGAGTTAATCTGGAGTTACAGCAGCGGCAGACTATTAAAAACAAAACGGTTTAGCACGATTTTGGACAGCCAGTACCATTCAGAATAAGCATGAGCTTTCTGATGATTATGCATATCTATTAGAGAAACTCCTTTACCCAATTCTAGTAGAAGCTTAATTCCTATTATCTGAACATAAACCTCTTGCTGGAGCAAACACACATTAGAGCACATTTACCCCACAGGAAAAAGATTTAGCAGACTTAAGAGGATCTTGGTAAACATGCCTCGTTAATATTAGTGGGGAAAAAATGTTTCTCTAGCAGAAGCAAACACCTAATCTTCTCCTCAGATGGCAACGCTCGAGTAGACAGCTGGCCAAGCTGTACCTCTGTTGTTGCTGGTTCTGCGCCAGAGGTCGGAGATCACGGGCGGCACTAGCAGCCCGGCGAGGTGTCCGTCACTCCGCGGCGTTCCGGGTGAGAAACTGCAGAGCAGCCAGGGGGCGCCCCAAGCGGAACCTCTTCACAAAGGCCTGTGGGTCCCACGTCCCTAGGATGACACATGGGAGAAGGCAT